CATGGGAGGAAGCAGGGGCAAGAATATGACTTGTAGGTCAAGGATTTTGGATTTAATCCCAAGTGTGGCCACAGTAAAAAAAATCATTAGCTAGGTTGGTGATGTCATATAATTTATTAAGAAGTATTTATCTAGCCTTTAATTTATGCCAGACTTCATGCCTTGCCTTGCCTTTATGCCAGCCTTCAGTCTGGTCTACTGAGAAGGATTGAAAAATTAGTCAAATATATAATCCTATCCAGATTTTGATTGAGGAGATTTGAGTCTCAGGTAGGAGGCGGGGGGTGGGGGAGTTTCCTACTGGGCCTGGGCATCAGAAGGCTCAGAGCCACAGCGCAAAGGAGGTTTGTTACATGGCTCACAGGGGCTGAATAGGAACCTGTCATGCGTCAGAGGGGCTCCTATATCACACAGCACTCACTGTGTCAGAACCCTGTGAACCTTTTCAAATATCTGCTCCATTTAATCCTCACAGTGACCCTAAGGGGTAAGAAGTCTTATCCCCACTGCAGAGATGAGGGAATTGAGGCACAGAAGTGCCAAATGTCTGGGCCAAGGCTGCACAACAGGTAAGGGTAAAGCAGGATCTGAGTGCAGGGCAGGCTGGTGCCGTCTGCTCTTAGGCACAGTGCAGTGGTGACAGGTCAAGAGGACAACCGCTTGGCACAGGGTGGCAAAGGGGGTCGTCGAGGAAGCCCTGGTTTTAAAAAATGTGGTTAAGGCCCTGGCCAGTTTGGCTCAGTGGTTAGAGCGTCGGCCTGCGGTCCGGAGAGACCCGGGTTCGGTTCCCGCTAAGGGCACGTACTTCGGTTGCAGTTTGTCCCCGGCCCTGGTTGGTCGTGCGGGTGGCAGCCACTCGATGTGTCCCTTTCACATCGATGTTTCTCTCTCTCTCTCCCTTCCTCTCTCTCCCTCCTACTCTATCTGTACAAAAGATGGAAAAATATCCTCGGGTGAGGATAAAAATAAAATAAAATAAAATAAAAAATGTGGTTAAGGATACTCTGGGCTGTGTTGACTTGGCCGAGAAAGCAGGATATACAAGTGGAAATATTGTCACTGGGGGCCTGCAGCAGGGATCTTGGCTGCTTAGTGTGCTTCTGTGCTCCGGCTTTTTAGGAGCAGGCAATTCTGGATCAGTGCAAACTGCTTCGCGTGTAGGCTAGTGCCGTCCTTCCTTCGCTTTCTGTCAGGTGCTGGCTGTTCTAAGCTCCCCTTTCTACTGCTTGGTACCATGCTCTAATGTACAATGATACAGTTTAGGACAAAAACGAATTATATCAGAACTCATAGGAATAAAATAATAGAAAATGCAAGATATTTACTGGAAAACATGTCATACATTGAAGAGTTTACTTGGGATAGATTTTGTGGTATTTTTTTCATGCAACATTTACTTTAAGGGAGGAAGTGCAATTGTCACTTTCAGTAATATTTAACTCAAATATGTCTCTACATCTTCTGCCTACATGTTCAGATCGATCCAAATGGAGAGTGTGAGTTAACTCATCTTCTTGACGTAGCACAGCATAAAAGGTCAAAAAAGCTCTGATTATCATCGCATTCACTTAGGAATGCAAAAGGTCTCCGAAAACTGGAAGTTGAATTGAAGCCATTTTGTTAACCTTCAGTTTCTGTTTTTTTCTTTAATATCAGGAAGCAGTGACTATTCTGTCTCTTTGGTTAACTGTACAAAGACTGTTTATTAGACTTGCAAAGGGGCGCCCTTTGGACCTCCTTGGGGCCGTGACCTCCCTCCTAGGTTAAGGTTTTTACTATTTATTCTTTCGAACTATTTAACTATATCCCTACAGTTATGTAAGTTCCATAATTTTAGGGATGCATTTAAAGGAACACTCTATATTGGAAGTGATTTATCATGGTACGTTAATGGAGGTCTAATCAGGAGAGAGGAACGGAGCAGTAATTTGAACAGAGAAAAGTTAACATAATGAATTACTAACAATCATAAAGAATTTGAATATCAGGGATTGGTTAATAAGAATGAAAGAGACAGGAATAGCAGATGAAGGAGCAACCACTACCCGTAGAGCTGAGACAAGCTCTCAAGGCACAAGTCCCCTAGGGCTAAGATCCTGACCTTGTAGGAGAGCTCATGCTTTGGTCAGGATAGTAGGGAAGCCACTGTGATGTGGTATGGTATGACATTGCCAGAAATATGCCTGCTAGGGGACTAGGGAAAGCTGTTCACAGTGAGAAGTCTCCCTGGAGGCGCTCTGTTACAAAGCCATCCAGAGGGTCCCCGGGGAAGCTGCTGTCTGCTGGGAGCTGTAGGCTGTCTATTCTGCGGGAGTCTGGGACCGGGGCAGCCACCCACGCTGCTGCAATAGAGCATCCAGAGCTGAGAAGAAAAAGACCTTCCTTCTATAGGTCTCCCGACACCTTTTATCCACAAAGGTTAACACTGCAACAGCTGTTAGAAGAAAAATATTTAAAGAGACCATATCCATTTCCCAGAGCAGGCAGTGAAGGGTAGATTTGGAACTAAGAGACAACAAATTAATAACTGGCACACAGGAATCCCTGTTTATTTAATGTCAGGGTTTGGCCAAGACCTTTCAAGCTGTTGTCCTGAACTTATTAGAAAATAACTTACTATTTTTAATATGTAAGTATTTTATTTGTGTATGGTAACTTTTAAAGAAGTTGACTCGCTTTAATTACTCCTTAGGTCACATGTGTGACAATCAGCTCTTTGAAGCAAAATCATCGCATATTTTTTTAAGTATTTTACAATTAATCATGATGGAAACTAGTGTTCACAAAACCACATGTCCAATATTTTGTTAGAATAAATATTAATTTGTAGTGTAAATAGCTTATGCTTTACTTTCAATATCGCACATTAGGTTTGGATGTTTCTTGCCTCTGTACCACCATTAGATTTTAAGTAGGCGGCAGGGGCACCCGGAGTGAGACATTCTTGTTTACTACATAGTGCCAGTATGTGGTACATAGTAGATGCTTAGCTGACTAGTTATCTGCAAGTGAAAATGGATTACAACTGCCCAAGTTTGTAAGTAAACTATTTTTATCACTAAAAAATATAAGAAACACCAGAAAGAGTTGTGTTTAAGAATCATCTACCGAATGATATATATGACTATATAAAACTATATAAGGTGCATTTCACGTGTATTACAGTGCAATAAATTATTTCCCAAGAGTTCTTAAAATCTTTTTAAAATATGATTTTTAAATTTGAAAAACCACAGAAAATCTGTGAGAAGAAAATATCCATGGTGATACCGTTATTTATTTATTTATTTTTTATTGATTTTAGAGAGAGAGAGAGAGAAACATCAATGAGAGAGAACATTGATTGGTTGCCTCCTGCATGCCCCCCACTGGGGATTTGTCCCACAACCTGGGCATGTGCCCAGACCAGGAATCTAACTGGCCACCTCTTGGTGCATGGGTTGACACTAAACCACTGAGCCACACCGGCTGGGCAAGTGATACCATTATTTAAAGAGAGATTTCTCATAAAGACAGTGGATTTCATCAGATGCTGCAGTTAGAAGTTCTGGAATGTGGTCATTTTCAGGAAATAGGAATAACTATTATCTTTAGCTTGAGAAACTCTTATTATCATTCTTAAGAGAGGATTTTCTTGATGTTGCTGCCAACTTTATTTGAAGACATGTCAATCATTATGGAAAACATAGAGAAATAACATGTTTATTATGTTTTATATTAAAGATGATAATTTAGGAATGTAGGAAAGTTAAAATGAAAAAATACCATTGTTAAGAGACTAGTGACTAAATTCTTTTGTGATGTTTTAGCATAGTCATCTTGACTGATTCAGAATCCAGAGCACCAACTGATGGCTGTTTAGCTGCTATAAAGGAAGACAGGAGGAGACATGAGGGCTGGATTCTCATAATCAAATTTATCTCTCCACCTGTCTAAAGACATAGTGCTCTATAATCATTATTTCTATTTTCTGACAATAATCACTTTTAATTGATATTTTCTTAATACTGTCAATAAGAATGATCTTTTTTCTTCTTAGCATTTAGTACAACTACATCTTTCTCATTGGAGGGAAAAAATTATATGAAATAAATCCTGTATTTAGGTTGTATGTCAAGTTTATTTTCTTTAGCTTCTTTATTTAGTAGGGTATAGGTTATATATTTAATATGGTATGAATAATGCAAATAAGCTCATAACTAATGTGAGACAATGATCATGATCAACTCAGATTTGCTGAGATTTCACTGAGCACATGGCACTGTAGTTCATGAAAACACTAACTCTTTGTGAATTCTTTTCTGATACTTTTGCTCTGTTTTTTATTTGTTCCTTTTAACTCTAAGTTCAACTTGCCAGCTCCTTGAAATTCTGAAACTGCAAGCATGGCAGAGAAGGGGCAAAGGAATGCTTTTCCCTTCTAATAACACAAGAAATAAAGGCCAAATGTAATAACAGCTACAATGCCAACAATAACAACAACAGCACCCTAGAGTGGCCTGCATTCCTGAAGCTGTGAGAACCCTTGGGTGAGGGAGGTAGTAATACAAAGCATGTGGGTTCTTTCTTGCCCTATTCACTTGAATTATATCACCAATAGAAACCTTTTAAGCTTAGGAACCCAAGCAAAGCACTATGGATTCTCTGTTGTTTGTGAGTTGGAAAACTAAGAGATGGCACTAAAATATTCCATAGTTTTTTGTTATTGATCACTTACATACTGTATAATAAGTAACAGATTTTACTGTTAATGACTTTGGAATACCCTATTGATTTCAGTGGATGAAAAAGCACAAAGAGGAAGCTTTTCAATTCCATAATTTCAGCCCTTAAAAGACCATAATTTGAATAATTTAGAGAGAGCTTCCAGGCTGTTTTTTGGTTGCAAGAAGATAATAAGGCATGATGACTTAAAGAGTTGTGATTTTCTGTTAAAAGTGTTTTGTTCTTTGGGGGTAAATATTTTGCATACATTTTTTATTTCTAATCTTGTTTTCCAGGCACTTTGGAAAGACATGAGACGGGAGAAAGAGCAAGGATTATTCTTAATTGTTGTGATGATTCACACTTTCTAAAGCCTGAATCTGTACTTTCAGTTGCCTCAGAGACACATAAGCACAAAAGTGTAGAACAGAGACCCTCCAGCTCCTTCCAGTTTGGGCCAATACCTTGCCCTGGTCTGCAAGTGGAGTCTTCATGTAAGGTAAGTTCAAATCAAGCTGCTGCTTACAAAGAGCATCAACCCTGACTAAGAACGAATATGCCTTTCCCTGGCTGGTATGACACAGTTGGTTGGGCACTGTTCCATACACTGAAACGTCCCTGGTTTGATTTCCAGTTAGGGCAAATATCCAGGTTGTGGGTTCCATTGCTGGTTGGGGTGCACGTGGAAGGCAACTGATCAATATCTCTTTCTCTCTCTCTAAAAGAAATAAAACCATTTTTTTAAATAAAACAACTAATATGCCTTCATAAATATGTGGCAATTAAATATCAGCACAAAAACAAGAACTCAGATATGATCACATCTACCGGGATATCTACCAAGTGATCTTGGGTTAATCTGGATAACTTTTTGAATGGTTATTATTCTTGGTATATCATTATTTTTTGATAAAATAGGTTCTAGCTTATCAAAATTGAGCAAATTTTATGTTAACTCTTGAACTCTAGATAGTTTTTCATTAATAAGAGGAAAGAAACCTACATTCTGTGGTCTAGATTCTTTTTTTTTTTTTTTTGTTAGCTGAGAGTATTTCACCTCTTTTTATAATGCTAATTACAAATAAACCAAAAATGTATCCAAAAAACCGGACCATCATATGGACAATTCTTTAGATACACTCAGCATCTCTAGGATCACCAGCTTTGTAGGCTTCCTAGCCTCAGTTAATACAAAATGATGGAGTTTGCATTTGTTTTCATAAACCAAGTCAACTAGCTTCACAGAAGTTTGGAAAAGCTTTATCACTTTTTTTTTTTTTTTAGAGAGAGAGAGAGGAAGGGAGGGAGAGAGAGATAGAAACATCAGTGAGAAAGAACATCGATTGGCTGCCTCCTGCATGCCCCCGACTGGAGATTTGGCCTACACCCTGGGCATGTGTCCTGACCGGGAATCAAACCAGTGACCTCTTGGTACATGGGATGATGCTCAACAACTGAGACCCACCAGCCAGGCTGTTTTATCACTTTTTAGTTAAAAATATGATATAGTGCCCCAGCTGGGTTGCTCAGTTGGTTGGAGCATGGTCCTGTACACCAAAAGGTGGTGGGGTTGATCCCTGGTCGGGGTGTGTATGGAAGGCCACTGATTAATACTTCTCTCTCAAATCAATGTTTCTCTCTCTCTTTTTCCCGCTTTCCCTCTCTCTTTAAAATAAATTAAAAACAACAAAAAAAAAATCTCAACAAAGATGATATAGATGATATGGTAATTCAATCTGATTTAAGGGACTCTTCTATATTTTTGTCATCTATACCTATAAAGTTACCTCTTTATCTTGTTATAACTATGCTGTATGTGTGCATATATTTACTGTAGTATTTTATCATGTAAAACTTTTTCATATTATTACCTACTTTTTAATGGCTGTATCATACTCTACATACTGTGTATATACTATCACAAATATGAATTATTTTTCAATGGCTTAATATTTGAATTGTTTTTTATGTTTCACTTTTATGAATAACACATCTACAAACCTAAAACTTTTTTCATATTTAATATTACTTAATAGACTATATTTCTAGGAGTGGGATTTCTAAGTCAAATGTTAACTGATGTTAAATGAAATATTATTAACATTTTTCCATTATTTTAATGACATGAAGACTGTTAAAATGCCATTAATAAGGACTTTAAATAAAACTTCATTTCATCTCATGTGTACATATAAAGTTAGAGGCAAAGAGATGTGTCATTTTCAAGGAAGGCCAGTGGGCTGCTTCAACTCTGCCTCAAAGCCACAGGGCAGGGGTGGGGGCACCAGCCTATTATCTTCAGCGTTTTAGGTTTAGATACTTGATTTAGAATTTGAGGCCAGGGTTTATCAACCTTTTGAGAACTGAGTCACACTAACCAAATACCCAAGAAATGGATATATAAGCTAGATGGATTATCATTTATTTAATTTACAATAATAAACATAATTGCAATCCTGTTTGTAACTCAGCACAACCTCACTGTAACACAGCTACAGGGAGTGAGGGAGAGAAGGGAGAGAATTACATATGCCTCTGATGGGCATGGAGTCAGGGGCATTCCCTCACTGAGCTCTAAGGTCTAGCACAGTCCTCCCTTTCAGCCCATTAAGGTACTATCTCCCTTGTTTAAGGCTGACATACATCGAACGATCCCAACATTTTGGATTTCTCTTTTTAAGACTCCTTTTAGGCCATCTACTTTTGTTTCTACTTTCCTCCTTCAGATCTTGAAACCAGTGGTTAGACAATAGCTACTTTTGTTTCTTATTTAGTCAAACTGTTTTTAGATTTCCCAAAACTATTGTTCACGTTCTTAATTTGAAAGGGATCATGTTTTATAAAGACAATTATATAAATATGATAAAACTTTAACATTCATAACTGAAGAGGAACATCAAGGGCTTAGTCTCCTAAGGCAGAAAACTGAACCACATTTATATTATATTATAAGGTTGGAATACATGAAGTCCAGAGAGTGGGCCCAGCTGACTGCTAAGCATTCTCATCTGAATGAGGCTTTGTGGCTCTCTATTCGTAATAGTGTGTGCATCTTATAGTGGGAATTATTATACCTTAGAATAGTAGATGAGAACTTGGAGATGTCCCTTGATTCATGCATGTCAGATGTCTGGGGTCTACAGAAGCAAATCTCACTCATTAAGTGCCCATTTTACTAGTTTCATGCCCAGAAGGTAAACTGATTGCCATTTCTTTCAGTTTCTTGGAGGACCTCAGAGCTACCCTTTAAGTAGTGATAATAGTACATATAGATTTCATTTTCTTCATATATTTCTATTTCTTTCTTGACTCTAGGAAGGAACAAAATGCCAGGGTCTGTTTTCTTGCTCTTAGACTGATTCCACTTTAGTTTTTAGCTGCTGCCCTTTACCTCAGATGACTACCGTTTCCAGCCTTCAATGTCTCCAGAGCAGAGAATTGAATTAGACCGGGCTGTCCCCTCCTTTGTTCTGTATACTATGCTTCTAAGGAGCTCACTGTTAACTAGAGCTTTTTTATTTGTTCTTCTACAGTTATGTACTTCATGTCTTCATTTCACTCTTTCAGATTTGAGCCATTGAGATTGTTTTGTCTTCATCTTATTTATAAATTTCACAAGCACAAAATTTCCAGAGTGCTTATAAATTCTCCATTTTCCTTATTAGAAAATGCTGCATGAGTTTTTCCCAGAAAATAAAAAATCAGTTTTAAAGAAAAAGATTTAAATAATCTTCATTTTAGAGGTCAGGAAAGGAGGGACAATAAGCCTGTGAAATTTAGAACTGTCTGAGGTACTCTATGTTTCAGGATTTTTAGTGTGGATTTTAGTGAAACATTTTCACTAAAATGTGCAATGTTTTCGAGTAACATGTAAGATCCATGCACTGAGCCCTTTGTGTTTGGCAATATTTGAAATATATCAGCATGCTCTATTCATATTTTCTTCTTGCATTTGAAGAGTGCATGTAGATTTGGGAAAATGTTCTAAAGACAACAGTGACAATAAAACATTTAAAAACTGGGTCCAATTTGAAATGCTAGAGGAGCTGAATTTGTGCAGCTAGACAGAAAAAAAAAAATCTTTAGGGTAGGAGAGGGCCATGGTCTTAAAGGATTTGAAGAAATACAATATCATATTAGTGATGGGGAACTGATTTTCTCAGATTCTGCTGAGATTCTGCTGAGGATAAAACACGATAGAAACTAAATTGAAGTGGGAGGAAATTAGCTTCAAAGTAAGAAATAAACAATCTTACTAAAATTATCTCTACATGGCAGAAATCTTTGAAGTTTCATTATGTTTTAAGAAGAGAGGGCCTGTTGAACCTGTTGGCTTGTTGATTTTAAATTCCTTTTCTGCATTTCTTGTCTATAAAATGAGTAAAAGAATAAACTGGATCATTTTAACTGCCACAATTTAGAGCTGTTGTACTGTCCTGAAAATGTGTTTAAAAAATGGATTTTCTATAGAATGGTCCCCAGTAATTCCTCCTGGTTGTTTATTTAGAGGTTCACTGTTTAATATGGTAGTCATTAACACACACAGCTATTGAGCCCTTGAAATTTGGCTAGCCCCACATGTTAAAATATGTTGGATATATAGGATTAACCTAGATAATAAGAGCCTCCCTAGTGATCGAATAGAGAAATATACAATACAATAGTGAAGAAATTATACCAGGCAGTTTGCTTTTTGACCACAGATAAAGTGATGCAAATTGTTGACAGAGTATAACCATTTCTCAAAAATATTTTCACTCTTGTGAAGTTAAATAAAAATGTTTGTAATACGTAATACTTTTTTTTAAAGCCACTTAATGAAGAATATATATCCCTTTTCTCACTTTGTGGTATGGGTTTAAACATTTTTTGGTACAAAGTTACCTGGATGCGGAGGAAAACCACGAACAGCATCCCACAGCTTTGTTTCCGAACTGATTCAGGAGGTCTCGGAGCCCCCGTGAACGTGGGGAACGCACCATTCACTGACTGCAGCTGTCCCCTCACTCACAGAAGCAACCTTGAATTTCCACACAGGACTTCAAAGCCTTGCTTGTATCTAAACAGTCGTTGGACGTAAATCAGAGGCACAAAAGGAAAATGCCCGTATTTCATGGTGCGTGGCCGGTTTAAGCCCTGCTTTGTGTCGCACGTGCCGGTGGGAAGTGCCAGGAACAGAAGGGCACTGTTCTGACTCGTGTGACAAATGTAGTTAACACCAGATCCATATTAATGTTGTCAAGTTCCCTTGATGTATTTAAACAGGTTTTAATTATTTTCAGCGTCCAAAGGCCTGAAATATATAGCCTAATAGTTCTTCGAAGAAAGCTTACTTAATGTGTGAATGTAAAACCTCTCATAAAAATGAAACTTTTATATTGGCCTTAGTCATTGACATAGGTTATTCATCAAGTCAGCAATTTGTGTGGCAAAGTGCCATTTGAATAGTGTATTGTTAGGATACTTATGGTCCACTTGACAAGGGCTCTTGCTGTAAAT